TATATATATATAATATATTATATATTCGTATTAAATATCTATTCAATATAGATAGCATTTATCTCATCATAGTAAACCAAATTGTTATGTGATTGATGTAAATTATACGAAATCGACGAAACATATAATAACAAAAATTATTTTTTTTTAATTTATTGATTTAAACAAGTTTGATAAATATTTAATTTTGAAATCTTTTTAAATTTGAATTTTATTTTAAATAACAAAAAGTCATTAATAATTTTAAGTAATTTATAATTGAAAAATTGATGTTTAGAATAATCGTCAATTTTTCTTCATATTTATTAGTATACAAATTTATTAAATAAGTCAAGATTGGAATAAGTAAAGATTGGAACTTTGACTAAGGCAATTGATTAAATATTAACTTCTTGCTTGCTTTTTGACATTTACATTTTTAACTTTATAGAATTATAACTTATATTTTAGTAATTAATTTATTACATACAAAGATCTCATCGATATCTCTCGTGTCAAATGGATGCTAGTGAGTGCGTGGTTTGTACCGATGGAAAGTTGTAATTATTTTCATCATGGAGAGTTATTCCTCGTCGCTTTCCGTAAAATCCATTCGCAAAGTCTAGTTTAGGTGTTCCGTTGGAGATTCTTGTACAAGATCAAAATTAATCCTGGATTTTCTCATTAATTTCTGTAATAATTTTATCAATGATTCAATAACAATTTTTACATATTTTAAAGTTTACATATTTTCAGTTGCGAAATTAATTCAGTGTATATTTTAAGATATAATTTTCATTGCTTTCTTAATTTTATTAAATGTTCTCCCACTATAGTAATAATGTTAGTAATAGACTATTTCAATGATAATAAGAATTTAATTATGGAATTTAATTTAAATATGATATAGAATATAGATAGAATGATTATTTGTTTAAATTCAAATTATTAAATAAATAAATTTAAGTTTTAAATTTACAAATAATTTGCTTATTTTTTTATGATTGCTTTAATAAAAATGTGGTTATAAATGTGTATATTTAATTTTCTAATTGTTATTATTATTTAAAAAATAATTTTTAGGTATTGGACATCCCGCCATTCAGAATATTATTAATTTATATGTATGTATATTATATATATATTTTTTTTTTATGATAAAATACATGCAGATATTATAAGATTATATTTAACAAATTTTGATTTTTAATTTAGATAATTTTTACCAGAAATGCTTTATATTTTTTTAATAATATTGTCGTGAATACACGAATTTAGTTAAAATTGTGTGGACACAAAAAAAATTCGAGATAATTCGAATGGGTACCCTCATATTAATGAGATATTAATAATTAAATTTTTGGAAAATACAAAAAATAAGAAATTGTTAAATTTCATAATCAATTATTTAGTATAAAAATATAGTTCTTTAAAATCTCATTATTATCAGGTTCGATTTATCTCGAACAGTTGGTACCCGAGAAACTTTTGTACCCATACATATAAAAAATTACAATAACGCATGTATTTTATTATTATTAAATATATATTCCTTTGTAACCGCTATTCCATAAAGAAATCATTCTATCCGTTTATTTTTAATAAGAAATGATTTTTATTTATGTGGCAGAGAACATATTTTCTCGCGAATTTTAATATTATATTAAAGATGTGATAAAAATGTAAATGTGATAATAATTGTAATTGACATGTTACCCAAATTATTATTATCATAAGTAGTTTGAAAGATTCGAGATGCATTTTCCTGTAACAAGATGTTACTGGTATTTGACGAATGCTTAACTTTTCTTTGCAAATGGATCTTGTGAATTTGACGTAGAATCAAAATATATTAAGTTCGCTCTCCATTGAAAATTGTTCTTCTTTGTATCGGATACTAACCAGCGTACTATAAGGCAAAGGAATTTTGATATAAAAAAATGAAATTATTGAGATAGTTGTTTTGAACGCGATGAAATAGTGTTGTTATAAATTTATTAGTAACTTTTTATCGCGATATTATTAAGTTTTATATTTGGAAATTAATAAATAATAATAAATACGATCTAATTATTAATATTTTATCAATATTTCATTAAACATTGGTTTAGAAAAATTTGTGTTATACGTATTTTCGACGTTTTCGTATAATCCCGCATTATTAAAATTTATAAAATATGCTTCTATATTTTTATTATATTTTGAACAGCATTGATAATTGTATATTATATTGTAAGTAATTAGTAATTGTAATATCGAATTATATAAAGGATAATACAATAAAGAATAATATTTAAAAAATTATTGCAATTTCATTAGCGAAATACAATAAAATAATTAGACATAAAAATAAAAAATTAAAGATGTACTTACAAAGAAAAGAGGATCGCCAAATTGGCGGGGGTGGTGGAGGGCCTCTATAGCTCGTTTTTGCTAAATTATAAATTAATATTAAATTGATAATACATATTTAGAAAAGATTGAATTTATTAAAAGTCTGTAATTATAGAGACACATATTAGTAATTATGTTTGATAAAAACGGGCTGAAAATTTGCATAAAGAAATATAATTTCATAATTTTATAAGATATTATAAGAAAAAATTCACTAAATTAACTTATTTGAATTTTCAATTTCGTTTATTAAAACAACTTTTATTTATATATGTAGGAAATACGAAATTCAATTTTGTTTGTTCAAGGATCTATTAAACGGATTAAACTATCCCTCCTATGGATAGTCGGCACGCTTCTGTCGTGAGAATTTAGTTCAGAGACGAACCATATCTACAATACTTTCGACGATACGATTTTATCGATAGTATTAGAAAATGTATATAGTCACGTAGTTCTCAAATTGAAAATGTACTGGCGGTAGTGTGCAGATCATTTCGATAACGGTAACAGAAAAAACGACATGGCCTCTCTCAGATTTCTCTCTGATTGAGTACATAGTTAAAAACTTTACTTTAAGCAATTCTGTTTATACATATAATTGTATATATTTTCTCAATGCATTATTTATGCCCGTTTCTACTAATGCAGTTTAACTTTAATCTCAGTTCAACAAACTCATCTTTTTCTAGTTTTAAGAATAAGAAAAAGATAAAGAATAAATTGATCCGAAATTAAAATTAATCTGCGTTGGAGGCCTTAATAAGTTGATTGCCGATTAACTTGTTGGTCAAGGTGATCTCATTTACGTGGATCCTTTAACACATTTGACATCTCTAATATTCGTTTTCCCCGCGTAGTGCGGTATTTCTCATGCTTGAATCACGCTAGAGAGAATCACAGGGAGAGCTGGGAGAGAGATGGCAAATTGCATCACGTGACTGCCCACGTCCAATCAGGACGGGGATCACCAGTGACCAGTTTTCTTAAATCTCTTCTATACTTATGGAGTTTTGACACCCATATCCAATCAAAGGAGACGGGTCACGTGATGCAGTTTGCCACTCTCTCCCTGTGAGGCTCTCTAAGCCACGTCGGTGGGAGAGACACGACTTGTGGCTACTCCAATCGCATATGACCACGATCGCAATGGCGGCGTGGCTGGACAGTTTTGTGTTATCGGTTGGTTAGGAGTCGATCTGGCGGTGCCGAGTACGTTTAGTCTCCTTATTTAAAGCATAACACGTCGTACGCAGTGGAATCGATTTTTTTCTCCCCTCAGTCATGTACGGTCTCCTGATAGTGGCACTGCTGGATCTAACTCTCGATGGTACGTGTATCTCTAACCTTTTCTTTCATCCTTGCGTAAATAAGCCCATTTATTTGCACGAACGACTGATAACGCTTGTTTTTTTAGTGGTTGGAAGTGTCTCGCAAGCAGAGATTACTAAACATCTGGAGTACGGTAGAGAATTCCTGGCGAAGGGTCAGCTACAGGATGCGTTGTCACACTATCATGCAGCAGTTGGTAGGTTGAATCAGGAATTCACACCCGGTCTTTAAATTTTTCGCGAGAGTGATTATCTTGTTAACAGCTGTTTTTATACCGGAGAGGAAGGCAATGGTCTAAGAATTCAAAGCTGAATTTCTTTCAGAGGGAGACCCGAGCAATTACTTGACGTATTATAAGAGAGGTACAGTTTATTTAGCACTGGGCAAAGCCAAGTTTGCTCTCCTCGACCTCGACAAGGTTCTAGAATTGAAGGCAGACTTTACACCAGCAAGACTGCAACGTGGTAATATTTTACTCAAGCAAGCTCATTTTGACGAAGCTGAAAACGACTTTCACGACGTGGTATGCCATCTTTTGTGTTTGTATTGGTCATTTTTCAACCAGAGACATAGGTGATTCAGTAAATTACAGACTCTGTAATGGAGTTTAGTCACGAGCAATTTTGTCAAAACAAGAGTGAGAAAGAAGGATACATATGTATATATATGTTTGTTTACTTCCAATCAAAAAGTTTGCCATTTCATGGTTAGACCCTGATATAGACTATAATGTTATAGACTGATGTAATATCTACACTGTAATAATTATATTAATATAGACTGATATAGTATCTACAATGAATCATTTCATCTTTGCTTAATTCTATGATAAGCCATAAATTAGGAGCTAAAAATTGATGATTGTGAATGGTCAATTTCCAGCTTCTAACTTCTGATTTATGACTAATTGTAGAATGCCTCTAACACTGGCAAATAGGATGTAATGATTTCTGTATTATATTGTCAACTGTGTCTTTTGCTGGCAAATGTCTGTTATATTTTTACACATTTTACACATTTATATTCGTCTCATGTCGCCTTTCTTTATTCTAGCTAGCATTAGAACCAAATAATAGGGATGCCTTGAATGCCTTAGATAGGTTATATCCAGCTAGAGAAGATATGAAATTAGTCGATATATTTGTGTATAACGGCGATCATATAGCAGCTGTACAGCAAATTACTCGACTCATCGAGATTTGTCCGTGGTCCTCGTATCTTAGAGAACGCAGGGCAGAGTGTCATGTTGCCCTTGGAGATTTTATGAGTGCCGTATCGGACATACGTTCAACTACCAAATTGTTATCTGATAATACGGAGGGTTTTTTCAAGCTTTCGACGTTGCTCTATCGTCTTGGAGACGTTGATGAGGCATTAAAGTGAGTAATTAGTCATTAGAATAATCGATATTTTTATTAAGACATATAACTAATTTATCATAAATATTTAGGGAAATTCGAGAATGTTTAAAGCTTGATCCTGATCATAAGCAATGTTTCCCCTTTTATAAGAAGATTAGAAAGATAAAGAAATTATTACAAGATGCTGAGATAGCACTGGAAGAAAAGGATTATGACGCGTGCATTGATCCAGCTCGTCGTGTATTAACACAAGAGCCAAACGAGCCGAAAGTGCAATTCATGGCTTATCATTATCTCTGTAAATGTTACTCAGAAAATTCTGAGGCAACTCAGGCCATTAGTAATTGCCAAGAGGCTTTAAATATCAGAAGAGAACCGAGTGTATTGTGCGACAGTGCAGAAGCATATCTTGCCGCAGAAATGTTCGACGATGGTAATAATTAATCTTATGTTTAGAACAAAAAATAATTTAGACTACCGATAGTTTAAAATAATAATCAAATTTAAAGAGGGAATCGGTATGGTAAGGAGTGCGTAATTCTATAGAAAGATTTTAAAGAATACATTAATAATTCAAGATACAAAATAATAAAAAAAATATATCTAATAAGAGTCAAAACAGTAATAAAAGCAATTCTTCAAAATTAGATCAATGCAAATGTATTAAATATAAACGTATATACAAAATATAAATTACGAAACTCCAACATAATAAAAAATCTTCAATGTTACGATACATTATATGTTTCAGCCTTATGTTTAGGCTCTAAGTTTACTATTTTAATAACTTTGTACCGAAATAATGTACGATTTTTAATTTTGTGTAGATCGTTAATGAATTGTCAAAATATTCTTGTTGCAGAACAACTACGTATTTTTTACGGAAATTACATGAACCTACTTACATCTCTTGCTATAAATCATGCCAACATTCCTTTTCATTTTTGATTATTTTAATGTTATATATTTTATGCCAAAGTATATATAAGAACTTTTCCATTTTATAATTGTAATATAATAAACGAATATTTTTTCTCTTTAACAGCCATCAGGGATTTTAAGGAAGCATTAGAGATAGATTCAAATTTCCAAAGAGCCAAACAGGGATTGCAAAAAGCGCAACAACGACAAAAGTTATCGGAATCGCGAGATTATTATAAGATTTTAGGCGTTCCAAGAACGGCGAATAAGCGAGATATTATCAAAGCTTATCGGAAAGCGGCACAAAAATGGCATCCTGATAATTTCCAAGAGGGCGATGAGAAGAAGCGCGCACAAAAGAAGTTCATCGACATCGCCGCTGCTAAAGAGGTTCTTACGGATGACGAGAAGAGGGCGAAATTCGATCAGGGCGAGGATCCTCTAGATCCAGAATCGGGCCGGCACCAGCAAGGCTTCAATCCCTTCCAGGAGTTCCATCACTTCCACGGTTCTCCCTTCCAGTTTAAATTCCACTTCAATTAAACACGTCCCTATCTCGTCGTGATAGAAAAATTACTATTCTCAAATTCTAACGCGCATGTATGCGCACACCCGTCGCTTCATTCGCGATGGTATCTTCACTTCGCTCTAGCCCGAATTTCATTTCGCTACCTCGTCGTTGGAAATCGCACATATTTAAATCCCGTAGATGGACTCGGGAGATCCTATGTGCGCGAATTGTGTCGGTAGATCAGTGTCATCTCGCGATGGGCAACGTAAACTGTCTCGGCACGTATCTGATAAAACGCGAAGGTAGATTTAATTGCTCACACTAGTTTGTCTATTGCAAAAACTTATAAATACAGTACTTTCTAGTACATGCAGACTGAGCGATGAGTATAATCCTATTTCGGTTCACACATAAACATTTATCGCGTGTAATTTTATCATCGCATTGTACCAACCTGTACACTACTGGTAAATGATTAAGATCGTGATTATTTCCCACGTGCTGTAATACGTAGGGAATGTACAGTGATCATCACACTGCCACTGATTGCTTCAGCGGCTGTCATTTTTAGCTTGAGAATGTGCGACAGGATTGAAAATAAGTTCGAGAGATGTTATGCCTTTATCGAGTACGATACTGAGCCGGTATATTTATATCATTGTATACTATTTATGCATATAGAATTCGTACTCGGTAATGTTCAAATAATGTGTAGAACAATGCTGTGCGCTTGTCATGTTTGCATGTGTGTGAGTCAGACTTTCATGTAAATACTGTATTTCTGATATTTGTTTAAAAATATATTTGAATAATTTATACAGATACTTCGAAGGCATTATTAGTATGTAAAGAAAGCGGTAACTCTCTTTTTAGTAATAAAATATCAAACTCTCGTCGTTTGTTCAGACACGTTTGTTAAAGTCCTTTTTTTCTTAGATTATTATTTTTTGCCTCTTTTTTTCATTTTCTTTTTTTGGCGTAATCTCTTCCGCTTTTTCAATTGTTTCCACAGGCCTTTATATTTTCCTAATTGTTTTCTTACCATATAACCTCTCCATGTCGATTGGATAATAGTTGCGGCTTTATTTAGCTTCTCTTCTTCTTTCAATCTTTTTTCTTCAGCAATGCATTCGTCAATAAATTCCTGTCGTTTATTCATTAAAGTGCGTATTTCTTCTATTTCTAATTTTTGTTCTTCTATTAATTTCTATTAGCGAATTAAGGTATTCATTATTAAACTCAAGGTTATCAATATCATTATATTAAACAATTGATTTTTTTCTTTTTATTTTTTGTACATTAAGTTTGTTATCTTTTATTTGTTAATATGTTTATTTTTAGTTAAATATATATATATATATATGTGTGTGTGTGTGTGTGTGTGTGTGTGTGTGTGTGTGTGTGTGTGTGATATATGTATACTATACGGATTATATTATTTAATCTTATTTATTCAACTATCCACCTTATTACGTTAATTTTCGAATATACCTTTAATTCATCGATTTCTTCCTGTCGTTCCACAATCTCCTCATTATATTTCTTCGTCCACATATCTATCTGCTCTTCTTTCTCTTTGATATTTGCTTCTAAATAAGTATGTGTTTCAGCCGAAACAGCCTGTTCCGCATTGTACTCCTTTGAATATTCACTCAATTTGTTCAGCATATCTTTATTTTGTAGATTCAGTTTAAGTTCCTGCTGCTCCAATCTAGCTTTCGCCCATTTTTCCGCATAGCCTGAATGCAATGTACTCAATCAGAACACTATGAAACGCATTTATATGGATTATGCGTTACCCAATTTTCCATTATTTATGAATATCGCGTGATCGACTCGCGCGTCGCTTTCTTGTGCGAGTTTTATCGTGTTTTTCCTGTCTTCCTCGTTCGCTTTTTTATTGGATTCTAGTTGCTCTCGAAGTTGTTCAGCTTGGCTGAGCCACATCTGGGCGCTTTCTTCAAGATTACGTTCGTCTTCAAGTTTCTTCGCGATATTATAAACCTCTTTTTGCAGACTATCAAATGTTCTATGATTCTTCATTTCGTGAAGGACTTTTTTTAGGACTTCACTTATGTAGTTCCTAAATGCAGATTTATTGGAGAAGGAGATGCAAATTAACGCGATGTCTTGAAAGAGCATTTTCTTTTTCTTTTCAAAAATTCTTATTTTTAAAGTAAGATTACTGGGACAGTAACGTATCAAAATATTTTCGCGAAATACTTGAATATACACAGAGCCCCCGATAAAAGCATCTCGAAATAATGTATTATTTTCTGAGATCATGTGACATTTTTTTAATGAATTTTATATATACATCTGCTAGTCATCAAAGCAATTAGAATGTAGAATATACTTTTGCATAAGTGTATTATAAAAACATGTATGAGAGTATGTTTTTGCGCGCCTTTCTCTCTGCAATTTTTCAGCCTTCGTAGGTACAATTGGTAACAGGCCCATGTCTTCTCTGAAGATAATTTCAGGTTCATCAGGCATCCCGTATGTCTCGTCGATTGTCTTGAACGAATCATCCCAGCGTGGATCGACGTTGGCTGGTATAATGAATCCGATTATGGCGAGCTGATTTAAACATTCTTCTAGGACAGAGGATATAGCGGCTGCTTCTAGTGGCGTGAATGGTGAAACTTTCATTTCCGCATTCTGCATCTCATCTTTTGATGTTTTCGATGATGGTATGTCTTTAGGTGATTCAGGAAGTTTCAAAAGCGTTTCAGATTCGATGAGATCTAATAACTGAAAAATAATAAATATCAAGTTCAGATTTAGATGATCTACAATGTGTATACATCATCTACATGTTTTTTTGTAGATTTTTTTGTATAGAATTATTTTATTTATAATTTTGTATACCATGTATTTTAATATATATG